CACACACACACACAGAGAAAATTAACGTGTATTATGCAACACAACGGCGGTGGCGGTAGTGCGTGCGTTCATGTGCGTGCACACGCACGGGATTTCCACCATGCTCAGCTTGAGGAAGCTGTTGGACAGCAACATCTTCCAAGTGGCCGTCCTCCGACCGAGGCTCCATGTCCTTTCTACCCTCTCGGTCCTGGAGAGTCTACAGCCAAACACAAAGTCACCACGGAGATTTTTTTTTTCCACATCGGATTGTATATGAAAGAAAAACCCATAGTGGTCTCAAGGAAAAAAAAACGTGAATCTGAACAATATTGGTCATATTTGCGCTCCATCCATGGATGTTCAATAGGGTTTAGATCAGGCCTCATGGAAGGTCACTTCAGAATAGTCCGATGTTTTGCTCTTAGCCATTCTTGGGCCTTTTTTTTTTCCCCCAAAAAATAATTTGTCAACATTATGTAGAATGTAAGACTACTTAACACTGGCCAATACAACCCAATCATCTTACTTTCAGCATGATTATTTCCTTTGGGCTCAAGAAGGTGATGTGTCCTTGCGTCCTCTCAACCAGCAGCGCCACAAGGCAGGCCAGCACCACGCAGACGACCACAGCTCCACGCATGCTCATTCTCTTCTGTGCTGGACAAAAGTTCATTGGCGCTTTGTCAGTCTTAAGGTGAGCATTTTCATATTTGGCGCCAGAATTGGGAAGACATAATTTTTCAGCCACACCTACTCTTGTGACCGGTGATTGTAGGCTGTGAAAAGTATTTAATTTACCGCATGTGTGTTCGTGTCTGTATACATGTGTGTGTGTAATGTCATACTGACATGTCATTTTGCAAATGCAGATTGACAAATGTGTGCGTGGGAGTGCATGAGAGTGACAAGACTGCGATACACTGGAGATGAGATAAGTTCCCGCGGCAATCTAGACAGGACAGCTTTATGCACACGGAGCAATGTGTACATCGGGGAAATGAACAGAAGAGAAAAAGACAAAATGTTACATGCTCACGGGTCGTTTGAATCTTGGTAAGATGGTCTCAGATGAGAAGAGCGTCTCCTGTCTGAATGAGAACTTGTCCCCGTCCGCCTTTATATCAAGGCGCTCCTGATGCCCCAGCTTTTTACTGTCCGCCCTCACATCCGCTCCTCAACAGGCTCCTTCACAAGCATTCTCATCCAGGCTCCTGGAAACGCAGATATCACACATGCATTCGGCTTTTTTCCTTTTTTTTTTTAAATAAGTGGACATTCTGTATATGGGCAGGGAGGCAAACGTGCTTTTTGATTAACACAACACTGAAAAAAATACATTTATATATAATATATATATATTTTTTTAGATTACACACCTCTGTATGAAATGTAGGTTGTACCTATTTGGGCTTGAGTGTCCTCAGAGGTCAGCCAGCCATAAATTCTCTGCTTCTAAGAATAAGCCAACACAATGTGACATTTACGACCTGCCAGTAATGTGGAGTTGTGCACATCCAGGCTCACATGCATTCGCTCCTAAGAAACCCTGCAAGGCTGCAGAACTTTAATGATGCTTTTTCCTCAAATCCACCACTTGACTGTGTTCCTGCATGGTAGTGAAATGTGACCAGAATGGGTGCGTACTGTTGGACCACTCTGGAGAAATGGACGATTAAAAATCACTCCCTAGTCGTGTCCAAGTGGTTCAAGTACATAAGTTGTGTGCAGACCTAAATGAAGCATCAGCGTGACGTACAAGCTCGAATTGGATTTTCCCTTCCTGAGCGTTAGGTACCTCCAGTGCAATTGGGTTTATCCTTTCACATTCGTCAACACATAATGTGTTTCGTTATTTATGCATTCAAAATAAAAGCGTTTGTTTATTTATTGTGTTTATTTATATATGCTGCAGGACTCCAGACTCTTTTTTTTTTTTTGTAGGAGCACAGAACCTGAAATTTTAGGGACAAAAGTAGAAAGTGAATTGGGAGACAAAAAACATAAATTGATTTGCGAAGTAAATGTACATTTACACTTCATCGACTGAGGCCTTGAGTTGATGAGGGATACGGCTGACTTTGGCCCATATCAATGAATGGTCCTTGTTGCTTGGGGGCCCAAAGGGGTCTAAAAATGCTCCTGACCATAGGCTATTATTCTATTTTTCTTTAATTTTCAAAGTTTTTAGTCCAAATGAATTGAGTCAATCAAAACTGCAACTCATAATACCAGACAGCTATGGATGACATTTGTTTTTGTTCATAATAAATAGCAGGGATAGGAAATGAAAATGCTAGTGGGGGCTACAATTTGACATAAGTGGTACTGTGGGTCCACACAGGACCAAGTAGTTCCTAAACAGGTGGATGATAAAATGCCGTTTTTAAATAGGGACAAAATATATGCTCTTAATATATTTCATTTCATCCATTTTCTGATCCGCTCATCCTCACAAGGGTCGCACGGGCGTGCTGGAGCCAATCCCAGCTGTCTTCGGGCAGCAGATTGGCAACCAGTTCAGTGTGTCCCCTACACACTGAACTGGCTGCCAGTCAATCGCAGGGCACACAGACATACAACCATTCGCACTCACACTCGCATACAAGGACAATTTACACGAGAGTGTTCCATAAACTGCCATGCATGTTTTTTTGGAATGTGGGGGGAAATCGGAATACCCCGAAAAAACCCACGCAGGCACGGGGAGAACATGTAAACTCCACACAGGAAGGCCGGAGCCGAAATCAAATCCTGTACTTTTGCACTGTGAAGTGGACGTGACAAGGCTGAAAATCTACCACGTCTACATTTTGTAAATGTAATGTTTGTTCACAAATCTATGCTGTTTGTTATTCGTTAATTTTATGTTATGTTATGTTTTGCATAATTTTGACCAACCATCAATATTTTTTTGTACCTCCACTTCGGGACAGAGGGTGAGAAGTTTTTCAGCCGTCAATACATTTTAACTCAAAAGTAACGTTGTTGTTTTTATGTCCACTAGATGGCATGAGAAACAAATCCACGTTTCTTTGATGCGTCTCGCGATGTTTTATGTGATCTCGCGGTATTCTGGCCCTTGACGTTGAGTCGGAGCTTGACCGTGCAGTCTTTTTACAGAAGAACAAGCATCGGGTCGCACACGTCTTGTGTGCTGCCGACATTTACCGATCATGGTAAGGAAACATGTTATGCATATGAATGAACTAGCTACAAATTTAGTCTTGTGCCTGACTGCTGACGTGCCCTTACTGCTAATCATGTTGTTATCCAACAAATCGTTGTTTCCATCTTCCTTTTCCACATCCCGTCTAAGGCCTTTCTCCTAAGCTACGTAGTTAGCCGCCCATGTGGTTACCACTCGTTCTGCGCTAAATGTGCGTCACGTCGCTCTCAAAACAAGAATTGCTGCCGCCGACACTAAACGAACACATTTTAATGTTGTAGAAATGCATACCGACGCGTTTTAGATATGCCGCCATTAGAAAGTGTAGATTTTAAGCTTTATGATGAGCATGCATTAGCGTAGCCCTTTGCTGCTTCACCCCATAGCGTTTGCACACGTGGTGCCCTGGCTAAAACGTGGTGCACTTGTGACCGTATGTGGTCGGAAAGCTCAATATTGGACCATCTTGCATATTTTCATCAAATATTGCTTTCCGTTTTGATAGTTTAAACCCCTTTGCAGCATTTTATAGTTTTGGATTGTGCAATTAATGTCGTTTCGTCGTTTCTATGTCAAGATTTCGTTGGGCACATTTTAAACGCAAGGGAAATCAG